GTGCTCCAGAGTCCTGAACACACTCCCTTCAAAAGCAGTGACACAGCTCTTTCCATGTTTCAGTTAAATGCTAAAGTATGGAACTGTGTTAACTATCATGCAGAGAACAGCTTTAGAGAATATTCAGAAAATGTTCTAATTATTAAGTTTTTAGAATATGTTCAGCTCTCTCATTCCATTGGACAATGTATTACATTTTCAGCAACTCTGTAGCTTTTTATCTGTTAAAAGACACAATCCTGAGAGGATTTCCTCCCTTGGGGGAAAGAAGGCCACTAGGCTTGAACTCAGGGCCTTGCGCTTGTGAGGTAGGTGCTTTGCTGCTGAGCCACGCCTCCAGCACCAGCTTTAGGATAGTCTGAGAAAAGATAAAAGAAAAACTTGGGTCTCACTTCCCTCCCCAGCTCCTGCCTGAGCCGCAGCCCCCCTCCACGGTGTCTGTACTGCTGGGGTGCTCCGAACGCCCGCACAGGGGGGCCTGGGTGGAGTTATCTTAGGTCCAGGCTGGCCTGGAACTGGGAGCCTCTCGCACACGGATGGTCTGCATCACCACACCCAGCTGTGGCCCGGAGCTACCTCTTGCAAATTGCTCTACCCAGTCACTCTCAGCCCTCCCAGCAGCCAGGGCTGGAGGTGTGAGCCACTGTGAGCCACCGGTGTCCACACACGGCCCTTTCTGACTGTCTTTTAGCGACATGCCATAGGTTTGATTATGGAAAATTTTACAACTCGTGGTCTCTTTTTTTGTTGTTCCTCTAGCATGTACTTTCTTAGATTTTTTTAAATGTGTTCTTTGTCCGATAATACTGAAATTATAAACTGGATAGAGTCAGTCTTTTCGCAGCTCGCTCATGTTAGAAATATTCTAGGATCTCAGAATCTATTTGCCTTCTGTAGTTGTATGTGATGAATAATAACATGAAATGAGGAAGAATAAGCTCGGACAGATCTAGTTGGAGGTGTTTCATTTGTTGGAATTTGGAATGGTTTGTTAGTCTCTTTGTTTGGAGTTTGGGGGAGGGGCTAAGGTTAACATACTGAGCAGTAAGCCAGGCCCAAAGAAACATAGGTCCCATGGTTTCCCTTATTTGCAATAACTAGTCTATGTCTGAGACAAGCAGAAACGGTCAAGATAAATTGATATTAGGTGAAATGAACCCCAAGATAAGGATTCAAATATTTTTTTCTTTCTTGCGATTGTTTCTAACATATTTATAAGATGATTTCTTTGTTGCTTTGTATGTCCCTCCCCCACGGTACAACCCCTGTTTTCACTGTATTTGATGTTGGCATACTTTGTGGAGGGGAAGAGAAAAAACAAATTGTTTAAATAGGGATACATGTGCACCCATTGCAACAATGAGATGTAGAAAATGTTATGTCGAAAAAAAATGAACTTTGCAACTTTCGCAGGGGATGGGAAAAGATGGGAAGGGGAAACAAAGGAGGAGGCAACAGCTTGATAAGAAATGTACTCATCACCTTGCCCACGTAACGGTAACTCCTCTGTATGGTATTTTCACAATTAAAAAATATAAAAAAAAACATACTGAGCATGCACCTGGTTATCTAAGACTTAGAAAATTGCGTAGAAGCATATAGTTTCCATTTACTAGTCTTTCCCTCATCACTCTTTCAGATGGGTGGGGAGGGGGAGAGAAAGATACTGCAACACACAGTTGGAACTAGAGAAATGTTAGTTAAGGTGAAATCACTGCCTTTGTCTGTGTCCTCAGTGTGCCATCTGCTTGTTCTGCTTGCTTTTATTTTAAGAGGACCATGCATGTTGTAAGACAATTACGGCCTTTCCAGATTAATAATTTATCATGCGTGGTGCTAGTGGCTTACTCTTGCCTGTAATCTTGCCTACTCTGGAGGCTGAGATCTGAGATAGAGTGTGGGGGGGAACCAATAAGACACAGCATCTAAGCCTGAGTTCAAGCTCCCATACCTGCACAAAAATATTAATAATTTATTATGACATATGAGGATTAACCATCTGGAAGTTTAAATAAAACCAAAAGAGTAACCATGGTTTTTCCTTTTGTATCTTTTGTTGTTGTTGTTTGATTTTGCTGGTCCTGGGGCTTGAATTCGAGGCCTGGGCACTGACCCTGAGCTTTTGTCCTCAAGGCTAGTGTTCTACCAATTGAGCCACAGCTCCATTTCCAGCTTTTTAGTGGTTAATTGAAGATAAGACTCTCAGGAACTTTCCTTCCTGGGCTGGCTTCAAGCCACAATCCTCAGATCTCAGCCTTCTGAGTAGCTTGGATTACAGGCATGAGCCACCAGCGCCCAGCAATTTCATTTTAATTGACACATAATAATTATAAATATTTATAGGATACACAGTGATAATAATTGCAGAATGATTAAATAACATTAATAAACATGCCCATCTTCCCTCACTGTTTTAGTTAGACGGGAATGAGCTTGAATGATCGATTACATGGGACGGTGACTATAGTAAATAATAATGCACTAGAATGTTTTTACTACATTATTTCTGCTTTCTTAGCAATAATTTTTCAAAGGTGGCATGGGAAGAAATTATGACGGCTGGGAATAGTTATTGAAATGCACGTTTCCATGCATAATGAACCTTTGCAACCCCCCTTTTAATAGGCATGCCGGCTGGCTCTAGAGTGGTCCAGAGTAAACACCTCAGACATCATGAGGCTGGCAAGTCTGGTTAAGACAGTTTGGGAACGGAACTTTCTCAGGGCCTATAACCACCTGATCAGCTTTGAGAGACTCAGCCACCATTCACTGTAGTAGCAATGACTTCATTATTGTCTCTTCTACTGTATTCACTCAGATCTTTGTTCAGATTAAGCCTTTTTGGAGAAGCGTTCCCAGTGTATGAAAGTGCCAACCATGTACTCCAGCCATTGGACACACTGTGGCTGGACCCCCATGACTGCAGCATGCAGTGTCTTTGCCTTATGACGACTTTTCTTTATCTCTACCCCTTCTGTGCAGTGAGAATAAGTATCCTGTTGCAGTATCTGGACAGGGACCTGCAATGTAATACCCATTTATTGCATAATAGTTTTCTACCTTCATATAGTAGGGTTTGAACTTAAACCTGGGTGCTGTCCCTTTTTCCACTCAAGGCTAAAGTTCTTCCACTTGAGCCAGGACTCCATGCCTTGATTTTTGATGGTTAATTGGAGATAAGACTCTTATGGTCTTTCCTGCCTGGACTGGCTTCAAATTTCAATCCTTAGATCTCAGCCTCCTGAGTAGCTGGAATTATAGGCATGAGCCACCAGTGCCTGGCATGGTATTCACCATATAATTCTTGCTTGAATGAGTAGATTCCTAGATGATATTTTGTCTTCCTATATCTCTCTTCTGACTTCTGTGCCCTGAGTATTTTGTCATAGTATTTGTATTTCAAGTATACCATGGGGGAAAAGACATGGAAGATAACTGTGAAAAAAATGCAATACATTCAATTATGAATGCCATTTGTAGACTCATTCAGAGCTAGGGCTAGGAAGGATGGCTAGAACACTGCTTTACTAGTAAGAAAGCAGAAAACATTCACAAACCAATAGAAAAGAGAAACTCAACCTGGTCAATGTATTGACCAAGCGGATGATACATCCTATTATTAAATAAATACCCTAGTTTGATTGATCTGAGAAGAAAGAATTAAAATAAAATAACAAATATACTTTAAGTGAACATGCTTTGAAAGTTTGGGCCATGGTGAATTTTTAGAGTACTTGAAATTGTCTCATTACGGACACTGAACTCAGGTTGAGCTACACTATTTTGAGTAGACTCCAGACAGGTGGATTGTTTCTTTGCTTTTTGTGTATGTTTTGCCAAAAACATCCTTGGCACCTCAGATTTTTAAAGACATGCAATTTCAATATTTTTGAGTGCTGATTGTGTTGGCATTTTCTAAATTAATCTTCTTTAGCCCATCTGTCTCATTTACCTGAAAACTTTTGTTTACTTGGATTTAATGTTTCTTAAATCTGCTTGGATAAGTTAGCATGCTTATTATCTGCTTGCCACTACATCTTTCTTTCAGTTTTATTGTATTGCTGCTGGGACTTGAATTGGTTTAGATTATTAGTAACAAGGCTTTGCTCCAAGCAAGTTGGATGATTTCTCTAACAGAACTTTAAAAATACCTGTTCCAGGAAGTGAGTAATATGGAGAATGTGAGTTTGAGACCAACTGGATCCATTCAATGGATAAGATAAAAACCTTTGGAAGTAGGAAAGAATTTGTAGATACGTAAAGCTTTTGCACTTCAAAACAACATCAAGTTAGTTTCAAATGGCAAAATGAGGCTAATGTGGTCAAATCCTAATGGCTCACATCTGAGGGTCATAGTTGAAAGCAAGCCTGGGAAGAGAGGACTATGAGACACTTACCTCCAATTAACTGCCAAAAAGCCAGAAATGGAGCTGTAGCTCAAGTGGTATGTGACTGGCCAGGAGCAAACTATCTAAGAGACAGTGCCCATACAATGAGTTCAAGTCCTAGTTCCAGCACACCAAAATAAATATATAAGGAAGTATTGTAAGTCTACCAACTCTGGAAGTGAACCATTAATACCAACATCTCATTCTTCTAGAAAACATTAAATATTATATAAATGAATGGCTCAATATAGTGTGCTTCACTCTGATTTAATACTATGGATTTTGGCTCTTCTTAACTGAAATAATACAGCAACCCAAGTTTTAAGGAAATGCAAATTATTTGAAAATCCATCAAAATCTAGACTGAGGGGCACAGGGAATCTTCACTTTCAGTTTTCAGGGAGATGTCAGTACAGGTCATGGTATTGGAGGAGATATATTGTTTTCATAGGATTTCCAAAGATGAATCCAAAAATGTATGAGAAAGAAAATGGAAATTTGTTTGGATTTTTTAAAAAAAATTGCGGTAGACTCTTCACCATGGCCTGTGGCAAGATGGCTGGCATCAGGTGTGCAGTCAGACAATGCTGATTTCTCTCTGCTTCCTTGCAGGGTACTCTGAACCCCTACTGCGTGCTGTGGGATGACTCCAAAACGTAAGTGGCACGTGTTTTCTGACATTACTTTAGACTAAGTATTCATGCATGCTCGGTTTTTTCAGCTGTTGCCAGTTAGTAGGCAGATGATGGCGGGGGGAGGGGGCGGGGTGAAGGTGAGGTGCAAGCTGGCTTCGGCCTTCTCTCCGTGATCCCAACGGCTGGTGAGCGCTGGCCTCGGCCTCCTCTCCGCACTCCCGAGGGCTGGTGGTGGGATGGATGCGTTCGTGTGCGATGATGCCAGCCAGCTACTTCTCGAGACAGGACTGGGTGGGTTCTGTGAGCTTCCTGAGGATGCTGGGGAAGCTCTGGTGATTTGGAATTACTGAAGCCCGGCCTGTCTCCACCTGTGGTCCTGGTCGTGGAGCTTGGCTTTGTGGATGAAACAGCAATCTCTATCATCATTTGACAGAAACATTTCTCGCATGACCTTGAATCTGTTAGTAAGTGATGCCATGTGTGTATGATCCTGCCAAATTGTACTATTGTAGAAATTGAGTGATGTTTAAATTTTATTCAAATATTTTATGTATGCATGCAGACAAAAGAAAACACTGGCCAGGTGCTGGTGGATCGTGCTTGTGATTCTAGCTGTTGGGGAGCCCAAGAGCTGAGAAGTGCAGTTCAAAACCAGTTCAGGCAGGAAAGTTCATGAGACTCTTACCTCCAGTGAACCAGCCAAAACCTGCAGGTTGAAATGTGGTTGGTATTATCTCCACCCCCCCCCCAAGAAGGAATAAGCTAAGAGAAAGTAACCAGGCCCTGAGTTCAAGCCCCAGTACTGGCACAAGGAAAGAAAGAAGGAAGGAAAGGAGGAAGGGACAGAGGAACCGAAAGAGGGAGGGAGGGAGGAAGAACCTTCAAATAAATGAATAATTCATGATTTTATTGTTGTTGGTATAATTAATTGTGATGTAGCTGACCAAGTTCTTCATCTCCTTGATAGTTCTGAGATTTTAATTCCTGAAAGGTAGAAAAAATTCCATAGATAAGGCTTAGACATGAGTGTGCAATTCTTTGTGCATGCATGGGTGATAAACTATTAATTGAATCAATGTCAGAAGCAGTGCTACCATGTTTGTTTGGCTGGAGTACCATATTGTTGGAGATGTGTATTTTCCAAGAATTTTCCCAGTGTTCTTCACTCCAGAAATGCGAGAGTGATGGTGTTACTTCTCTCGTCTCAGCAAACCTAGAAGGGGGAACTTAGGGTTTATAAGAAAGAAACTAAGGTTCCGGCAGTTTGCTGGGCCCTTGGTTTACATTATGTTTTCTTCTAGAACTGGGCTATGAACTCAGGGTCTGGGCACTGTCCCTTAGCTTTTCTTTTTCAAGGGTGATGCTGTACTACCTGAGCCTCAGCTCCACTTACAGCTTTCTGATGACTGGTTGGCAATGGGAATCTCCTAGACGTTCCTGACTTAGCGTACCTCTATCCCCAGTCTTCAGGTCAGCCCAAATAGCTGGGATTATAGGCATGAACCACAGGTTCCTGTCTAACTGATGTTCCTTTTAATCTGCAAGAGTTTAGTGTCGTGGCCTCCTGTGGCTTGCTGTGCATCTGCGTCAGTCCCAGGAGGGACAGCGCGTCCTTTAGGTCAGTAAGAGCTACTCATGATGGAGATGCCCTGGTGTGGTGTTCTTTCTCCCGGGATTGACTGGCATCAGGAGGAGCCGTGGTCACGACTTTGCAAAGACCAACATGCACTGGCTCCTTCTCTGCTTAGCTCCCTGAACTCTTTTGCTTCTGTTATCCTTATTTCTGCCTGTGCAGAGCATCTTTGCTTCTTCCAGTCACTCATTTTTGAAGACAGATTTCATTCACTGCACAACGTAACTCCAACCAAGCAACGCTAAAGCTCACACCCAGCCCCGTCCCTCGTGTCAGGAGACCGCCATTCATTCTTTCTTTCCCTCTCTCTCTCTCTCTCTCTCTTTCTGTCCACTCTCTTTTCTCTCCCCCCCATCAAGGAGCATTTTACATGTGTACCCCAGGAAAGGTCACTGAGCCCTGAGAAATTCAAAGCAAATATATACGATATTGCTGGCATGGCCAAAAGTTCCCTGAGGAAACAGTCAAATGTGAAGTTCTTTTATATGGACTCAGGAAACCAAATGAAGAGAAATTAATTTCTCACAATTATAAAATAGGGGACAAATGACTGAGAAGTCAGGTGGGAAACTTCAATGCGGCTGCTCAGGAAGGAGATGGACCAGGGCCGTGGGAAGCGGGTGTGGTTGGGTGTGGTCCAGGCTGTGGGAAGCGGGTGTGGTAGTGTGTGCTCAGGGGAAGTGGATGAGGTTGTGTGTGCTCGGGGCCTTGGGAAGCCGGCATGGTGTGTGTGGTCAGGCGGTGGGAAGCTAGCGAAGGTGTGTGTAGTTCGGGCTGTTAGAAGTGGGCGTGGTTGGGTGTGGTCAGGCGGTGGGAAGCAAGCGAAGGTGTGTGTAGTTCGGGCTGTTAGAAGTGGGCGTGGTTGGGTGTGGTCAGGCGGTGGGAAGTTAGCGAAGGTGTGTGTAGTTCGGGCTGTTGGAAGCAGGCGTGGTTGGGTGTGGTCAGGGCGGGGAGCACGTGTGGTTGTGTGGTCAGGGCTGTGGGAATCAGGTGTGGCTATGTGTGGTCAAAGCGTGGGAGGCGGGGATGTAGGTGGTCCATGGTTTGGAGCCAGTGAGAATTCTATTCCCTGCTTCTAGAATTTTCTAGGCATTCAGTTAACTGCAGACCTTCCAAAAGCATGATTTATTTTATTGCACAGATTGGTCTGTGAAAAGTACATAAAGATGTCAGCAAGGGCGCAGCCATTGACCCTAGGAAAGAAATCTCGGCTTGAGCATACCCAGGACACTGCACTGAGCACACAGTCCGCACACTTCCCCTGGCATACACCTCTCCCGGGCACACCCGTGGCCCGCCCACTGTATATGGTGGCTCTGCAGAGAATGTCTCTTTTTTTTTTTAAGTTGAAGTTGAGGACATTGCTCCAGCTGGCACTTTGTAGACTCGTTGAGGTGAATGTGTTCATGTAACTAAAGAGCAGCAAATACAGATTTTTGTAGCTTGCATCTGAGACACCAGGATTTTATAGGTCTTTTCCCTGTCCATTATGGCCCAATGACTTCTCTGGTTAAAAAAAACTATCTTATTCTTTTTTTTGTCTCTTAACTATATTCACAATGACAAAAATCAAAATATCAGGCTTCATTAAATCATTATTCCACATACAAAAAAGTGGGAAATTTGATTTATGCATGGGGAGGGTGGATGGGAGGGGCGAGGGGTGAGGGGGAAACGCGTAAGCCTGTTATGGGGCAGTGGACACACACAGGGACAAATTGTAGACCCATTCATGGATTTTAAAGCATAGTTTAAAAATTCAGTCCATATACATTAAAGTACAACTCACAAAGTAGAATATATCATAGTCAAAAGCCATATTACCCTAGTTTAAAATAGTTACTGGTTTTTCAGACTTACTGTTCATAAAACTTTTGGTACTATTTATAAAACAACAATGCCATTTTTACTCTAAAAAGCAATATAAAATATTTGTTTCCTGTTTTTTAAAATTCTGTAAATGTAAAGCTTTATTTACTTTTTTATTTTTTAGTTCTTATTTACTATTTCATTTTATTACTATGTATAGTATTTATTTATATATTATATATATAAAATATACTATATATAGTATATGTGTTATATATACTAATATATCGTATACATTATTTTATGAGGCTGGGAGGTATCTAGAATTGTGGCTCCCCCCCCCCATAAACCCTGGACAATGGAAAATGACCTTTCTTTCTTAGCTATCTTTCTTTGGGGAAATTTTTCTGCTTTAATCGCTTAGAATGTTTCCCAACCTTCTCAGGACATTTGAATTGCATTGTGCTTTTTATGTTCTTGAGTCTTAAGGGCTTAGTTTCCTGAAGAAGTATTCTCGAATATTTTGATGGAGTAATGACCCCTTTTTAACAGCTAGCTTACCAGATGCTGCTGACGGTGTTAACGGCCCCCGCGTGAGTCCTGGGAGCGCTGGGTTATTCCCACAGCCTGAGCTGAGGACACCTGGCAGGGAATGGTGTGCTGTAGTCTCATGTGGACCTCGCTCTCACCTTCCACGCAGGGCTTGGAAACCACGGCTTCTGCCACGGGTCCAGACGTCTTTTTTTCTGTTTCGGAAAATAAAGCTTGAACCCAACAGTCACGTCTTATCCTTATTCTACCACTGTAGAAAGAGTCACACAATGAACATGAAGCCCACAGCCCCACCCACACCACCCACACACCTACCTCCTCACCCCCTCCCCTTCCCCACCAGTCCTGGGGCTGAACTCAGAGTCTGGGCACTGTCCTCGAGCTTTGTCACTCAAGGTTGGTGCACTACCACACAAGCCACACCTCTCCTTCCAGCTTTTTGCTCGTTAACTGGAGAGAAGAGTGTTGAGGATGTGTTTGCTGACTGTGAGCCTCAATCATCCCATCTCAGCCCTTCCTGAGGAGCTGGAATTACAGGCATGAGTCCCTGGTACCTGTTACTTTTCCAGTGTGGGTTGTCTGCCCCTCTGCTGTGGTCTGGGGAGGCTGAGCTTGCTGCCAGTGCTCATGAGCTGAAATGCTGTCTCTAGGGTGAAGATTAAGAGGAGAGGCACCTACTTGATGCTTAGAGGGGCACCTGCTAAGCTGGTTAGGATTGGACAAGGCCATCGGGTCAGTGCCCCCAAAAGCAGACAGAGGGCTTTGTAAGGAGAGGGATGACCACCAGAGGAAGGTGTGCACACGCGCTGAGGGAGGATCACCAGAGGAGCGTGTGCACACGCACTGAGGGAGGACCACCAGAGGAGCCGTGTGCACACCCACTGAGGGAGGACCACCAGAGGAGCTGTGTGCACACGCACTGAGGGAGGACCACCAGAGGAGCGTGTGCACACGCACTGAGGGAGGACCACCAGAGGAGCATGTGCACACGCACTGAAGGAGGACCACAAGAGGAGCCGTGTGCACA